TCTAAAGAAAATAAATATTCCAAATTTAACTTCAAAATTGATTTCTCAATTTTTTAAAATCCTTTTTCACTTTCCATCTTCCCAAACATACACAAAATTTACTCGATATTCTTCACTTAAGGGTTCAAACAAATGAGAGAAGGAAATCTCCATTCTCTTTGCACTAGATCTATCTACATTCTTAGAACTCACTTTTTTTTTTTGTAGAGAATTAGCCCTTTTTTTAAAAAAAAAAAAAATTAATTCCTATGCCGTTGTGAGTTTGTAATTATTGGTAACAAATTAAAATTTGCCTCATACATTTGTGAAGAAAACATGAGTTGTTGTAAAGAAAATTTTTTAAAATTTTATCATACCCTCCCTCATGAAAAAAAATTTATATTGTAAATTATATCGTGTAATGTAATTTATATTTTATTATGTGGATCATTTTTGTGGAACATTGAGTAATTATATTTATGACGAACATTTTTAGGCGTTATATTTTTTTCCCCATCTAGTGTTCGAGGCTTGGCTCCGCCCTTGGTTGGAGACCATCCTATCGGGTGGAATGACGAGCAATACAAACAACATGCTCGTTCACTTTGGACATATTTTGGACCTAATTTTGTAAAAAATTAACAAAGTTTGTCTTTAAAATTAATTACTATGCTTTTTGTTCATGTTTTTTATTGACCATACTTTAAGAATTTCATAGTGTCTCATTCATTATGATAATGCATGTACCTTTCATGTAATGGTAATATAAAATAAATAAACATTTGATTTTAGCTATATATTTCTTAATCGTTTTGTTGTCATAATTGGGACAAACCTTAAATTTAATCATCCTTAAAATTGAAAGACAAAAAAAAAAAAAACAACTGGTCACAGGTCACAAAATGGAATGAAGAGTTGCTGTTTCGAAACTAATAAAGAACAAAAAAGAAAGCGGTGACAAAGCCCCTACAATACGGGCCAGTACGGTCCCAAATGTTTTACTCCCATTGCGAAAACACATTGTTACTTCCCTCTGTCTTTTTTTTTTTGTCAAAAGCGATAATCGTTTACAGAAGAAAAAAGATTATAGCACAAAATTATTTACATGGGTTTAAAACAATCTATCATAAACGACTCTTCTAGCCACACAGGAGAGTTGGAGTCACATCTTTGTGTACTTTTGCTAAAAAGACCTAATTTGGCTAGATTGTGACAAGTAGAGTTCCACTCTTTCTTAATGAAAATGAATTTACAACTTTCAAAAGATGACTTCAACCAACAGATGTCTTTGGTTATGGCTATCACATCTGCTATTGGAGAAATGCTCCCCCGTAGCCAAGTAACCATAACCTTGACATCTAATTGGATTTCAATCTGTCTAAGACCCCTCTGATTCAGCTGCACAATGATTCAAGGCAGATAACAGCTATTACTGCCTATAATTTAGCTGCACAATGATTCAGGGCAGATAGCAGAAAGATAGCTTGTGCTGCGATTAACTGGCTCTTTTCATCCCTGAAGCTCAATCCCAAGCCAGTTGAGTTCCCTGCCTTCTGTATTTCTGACTCTACATTGATTCTAACTACACCTCTTTTTGGTGCCTCCCACCCCTATCTGCTTACATTTTCTTCCTGTCCCCTTCTTACCTTCATCTCTTTTAGGTTTACCGGTCGGAATTCTTCCCATTCCCTCACAGCTCTCTGTATTATGTCAGTTGCTTCCACCTTTAGCCCTTCATACTGCCAGGCATTCCTAACTTTCCATAACTGCCACAAAATATACATAGAAAGTTCTATTCTAGGCCCAATCTCTTTTCCCTGGTCTATTCTCATCAAACTTCCCCATCATTCAGTAAAGCTATCCTCTTTGTCACCCATACCATCCCACTTCACAGGAGACAGCTTCCACACAAGTTGGGCCAGCTCACAACCAAACAGTATATGTTCAATGCTTTGTGGGGCCTCTCCACACCTTGTACATATTTCATCCACCCTCAACCCTCTTTTGTTCATAATTGTTTTAACAGGCACCTATCCCCTATACAACTTCCAAATGAAATGCTTTAGTTTGGCTTTCACCTTCAACTGTCAAGATTTAGACCAAATTCTTTTTGCTATCTCCCTCCCCTGCTCGATTCCTCTCCTACTCTTTTCAATTCTTTCCTTTCTTTAACCCCTCTGAAAACAGATCTCACTAAGAAATTCTCATTGCTTTCTCCTCCCCAGACTTGTATATCTTTTCCACCATATTTGCTAAGAGGAATTCTCCTTAACAGTTCCACTTCTTGAGGCACCATGATCTGTTCTAGTAGCTCCAGAATCCAAGTTTTTGTCGATGGATTGTGAGCTGAGCCACCTTTGTGAGGTTTTTTGCATTATTGTCTCCATTCCTCCTTAGGGCACCAATTTGGCATTCCTTTGGTAACCAGTTGTCTTCTCATACATTGACTGAGTTCCCATCACTTATCTGCCATTTGATTCCTTGTTGCACTATAGTCCTGGCCTCCATCTAACTTTTCCACATCCATGAATCCCCTCCTTTTGTTTGCACCTGAAACAGAGATTAATTTGCATAGTATGTCTCTTTCATCACCTTACTCATTAGTGAATTAGGCTCTGTGATCAGTCTCTAAACTTGCTTAGTCAGCAGAACCTTGTTCATAGAAGTCAGGCTCCTGAAACCCAACCCCCCGTTATCCCTTTCCTTTGCTAATTTATCCCATGCCCTCTAGTGTATTTTTTTCTTACTGCCACCATCACCCCACCAGAAATCCGCCATTTTCCTTTCAATACTGTGACAAACATTATCAGTTAACTTGTAGCAGGGCATGGCATATACTGGCAAAGATTGCACCACAGACTTTAGGAAGACTTCATTCCCTGCCGGCGACAAAAGTTTGTTTTTCCAATTTTTAATCCTCTGTGCAGCTGCTTCTTCTACGTATCTGAACACCTCTGCTTTCAATCTTCCAATAACCATGGATAAACCTAAATATTAGATTTACAGTGCACAGTTATACCATTAAGTTTATCACACACATTTTTCTTCTTTTCAACAGATATATTCTTACTGAAAAAAATCGATGATTTATCCTAGTTCACCTTTTGTCCAGAACATATTCTATAACTATCTAGAATTCTTTTCAAGCTTTGAATTTGACTACAGTCAGCCTTATAAAACACTAAAGCATTATCCGCAAACAACAGGTGGGTAATTTCAGGCCCAAACTTACTTACTCATTTCCATATTATTGACAGCTAACTTAATAAAACTACTAAAGAATGCCTCAAAACAAATCAAAAAAAGGTACGGGGACAGTAGGTCCCCTTGTCTAATCCCCTGTGAAGGCTTAATATACCCTTTTGTTTCCCCGTTAATATTAAAGGAGAAGGATGCAGTTTGAATACATTGTGATATCCCACCAACAAATTTCAAATCAAAACCCATTTTAATAAGCATAAGTAGCAAAAATCGCCATTCTATTCTATCATACGCCTTAGCCATATCTAGTTTTATAGTAACATACCCTTCTTTTTTGTTTTTTCTCAAGGTATTGAAATAGTGTAAGTACTCGTGTGCAATTGCCATATTATCAAGAATCTGCCTCCCAACTATGAAAGCATATATGTTATCACTCACACAAAAACTAAGAAGGGGTTTGAGCCTTTTGGCCAAAATTTTTGAGATTATCTTATACACAAAAGTTGCACAAACTAATGGGTCTAAACTGGAATATTTTACTGGGGTTTTCTACTTTTTGTATTAAAGAGATAAGTGTATGGTTAATAGATTTCAGCATACAATGTGAAATAAAGAAGCTTTTAACTGCAGAACAAACATCATTTTTTATTTTATCCCAAAAAATTGGAAGACAAGTGGGGTCATACCGTCAAGTCCTGGAGCTTTGGTTAGATTCATGTTAAAAAGAGCGTGTTTGATCTCTCCATCCTCTAATGGTCGAATCAGAGTGGCATTCATCTGAGCTGTAATAGTACTTGGGATTACATTTAATATTTCTTCCCAACCCACTTCATCCTCTGACTTGAGAAGTTCCTGATATAATAGCTCCACTCCTTTTTTTACTTCCTGCTCGTCTACACAACAAGATCCCATCATGTCTTTCAAATCTTTCTATTCTATTCCGTCTTCTTCTTTGCACAGTTGTGACATGGTTATTTCCCTCTGTCAAGTAAGCTTATGTGGACATCACCGGATTGCTCTAAAGATAATAGTGTGGAATGTATTTAGTATATACACAGTCTAGTTAATATATTGATCATTAGAAATGAAATTGTAACGTTTATTTTGAGGATTAGAGCTATGACTGAAATATTAGAAGTCGAAAATTGGTTACGAAGGATTCAAAGTATTCTCATAGTAGCCAGTTGGGTCAAGTGGACATATTTGGTATTTAAGGCGGATCAATTTGAAATATCAAAAAGTTATAATCAAAAATCGAACATAAGAATGTGAAGTGTTTAAGAAGTATATATGAAAAGTTAAATCATAGCTAAAGTATGAGGTAGTCTAAGTTTCTATTTCAAAGAATACCGTATGTTGTTACTAATGTTATGCATTTCCTTTTCAAAAAAAAAAAAAAAAATTGTTATGCATTTTGTTATTTTTATGTGCAATTATTTTTTTTTTCTTTTTTCATGGATACTTGAAGTTGAAAAACAATACTACTAGAATTAAAATGTCCGAAAATGAACGGTCAAGACGACAAAGGATCAATGCAGCAACCAACAAAGACGAGCTTTTTCATCCTCAATTCTTCCTATTTCATCTCCCCGCCATTTCTTCTTCACCGTTATTCTTCTTCCACCCAATACCCATGTTTCCTCTCTCATTCCATCCCAAACCTTCACGAATTTTCATTTTGCACAAATTTCCCACTTCAAGGAAACGGAAAAAATCAAGCTCTGTTCAGACCAGACCCCATTCATCTCCGTTCAATTTCTGATGTAAACCCATATCAAGTTCTTGCTGATTGATTGATTGGAAAATGCGCGAAAAAGGAAATGGGGCTCAATTTGCTTCTTCATCATGGCCGTTTCGTATTCATGTTACTATTGTTGGGTTCCCTGAATTTTTCGACAAAAGGGGTCAGAGGTGCGGATACTAGTGATGGGGGAGATCTCGATGATGATGATAATCCGGCGGCCGACTTTCTAGTCGAGTCCGTTTCCAGCCGTTTCAGCAACGTCTCGCACTTTTTAACTCCTGATGTTACTAAACAACTGGAATTTTGTATCGACAATATGTAAGTATTTTCGTCATCAAATTCAAAAAAAAAAAAAGTGTTGTGTAATCGTGACGTTTACGTGTTTGATGGTATGCTTATTTGGCTGCATTTTTTGTTCTTTTTTTTTTTAAAAAAAAATCCCCAATTTGTCTTGCAGAGATGCCGAGTGGAATGCTGCATTTAATTTCTCAAAGAAAACTGAGTTCTTGGGTGATTGCATCAGAGAAAACAAAGGTATATTTCTTCTGACCTTTTTTTTTTTTTTTGAAAAAGGTCAGTTTCTTTATTAATATTTCTTCTGATAAGACGCCAACAATTGTTGAGACTAATGCAAGCTTTGGCCGGCATTAAGCTGTTAATGAGATTATTTACGAACGATCTTATGGGTTTAAAAGATTGAAAAAGGAACTACAGTATGTTCTTTCGAATTCAGTAGGCAATTATTGCCGTACTAAGTGTTCTGTTAAGGAATGAGTATTTAACCTCTTCGAAGTTATCCTGACTGAAACATTTGACATTTGAGTGTATAAAGGTGAATGTAAGATTTAAAAAAAAAATTGAAAATAAGAAAAAAAAGGCTTAAAGACTTCAAACAAGATCAACACTGAAGCAGCAGGAGTCGAATTTATTTACCTTTACTTCACAATCATTCTATAACTATCTGTTGTTGTTTGGCTGTCATTTACTGATGTTGGAACTTTGGTATCATAGATGTCATGCAGCGGTTGTGCACTGCAGCAGAAGTAAAGTTTTACTCAACCAGTTTGATCGACGATGCAAAGAAAAGTGGAGGCTTGGGCCCTATAAAGTACCTGAAGCCTAATAAGAACTGCAACTTATCTTCATGGGTGTCTGGATGTGAACCAGGATGGGCTTGTAGTGCTGGAAAAGGTCAGAAGGTCGCCTTCAACAACTCGAAAGACATCCCCACTAGAATTCTTGATTGTCGACCATGTTGCGAAGGTTTCTTCTGTCCTCATGGTCTTACCTGCATGATACGTAAGTGTTTTTGCAGTCATCTAAACTTTTTACTCTCAAATCCTTCTTTAGTTTCCAGAGAATAACACTTAAATAGTTCATATGCTTTGATACATTTATTCCGGTCACTTCTGTTGTGACCTTTCACATTGTCAGTGGTTCTCTCAAGAACAAACTTTAAGACTTTCACTTAGATACAAGATAAAAGTGATGAACTATTATAGAGCAGAGCTATTTCTCTTCATATGAACATGAACTTAACTTGAACAAAACTGCACGATGGAAAGAGAAAGATGCATACAGAAAGCTATATGGTTACATTACACAACAAGCTAGAGCTTGTTTCAATATAAATCAATATATTTGAATGGTTTATGTAGTTCAAGGTAAAAGATAGATTCAGCAAGCTAGGAGCTCCAGGGTGAGGAATGAGAAACCCAGAGCATGACAGCTTTCTAATCTGTTGATACAATATGACATAGCTCTCTGCATAATGTACAAAAGGAAATGGGAACAGTACTTTGGGTTTTGTAATCTTGCTTGTGGCATCACATTTGCTCACTTCTTTCGCACATAAACCTTTTCTTTTTTCTTTTTTTTTTCTGTATGCATTGGTGGAATACATGTCTAATATTTTCACATTTTCCTTTCTTTTATGGTTGAAGCCTGTCCCTTAGGTGCTTACTGCCCTCTTTCAAAACTCAATAAAACTACTGGATACTGCGATCCGTAAGTTAAAGGCGTCCAGAATCAAAGTTTTCAGAAATAAGATTTTTTCCTTTTGATTGATTAATTTCAAAATTATTCTTAAAAATTGGCAGATATCGTTATCAACTGCCGCCTGGAGAGTCTAATCACACTTGTGGAGGAGCTGATGTTTGGGCTGATTTCTTGAGTGCTAAAGAAGTCTTTTGTTCAGCCGGATCTTATTGTCCGAGTACAAACCAAATGATTCCATGCAGCCGTGGGTATTACTTAAAATCCCAAAACTTCTGTAATTTTGTACCTGTTGTCATCTCATTAGTTAGAGCTCTTATCTTTTCACAAATCATCTTGTTCTAGCTTATTCATTCAAATTCTATTCATGCTAGTTACTGTTGTTTTTTTTTTTTTTTCAGGCATTACTGTAGGGCTGGGTCTACTAAACAGGATAGTAAGTCTCTTCTCTTGCATCTTTCCAGTGTACCAATGTCTGTTAAGAAACATCCTACAGGAAGCCACTGCTTTTATTTTCAGTTGAGCTCCACCTGCATGATGAAGAGGATAAAAATATAAGTTCTACTAATATGGCGTGTTCCTTAAATACCTGGAGAAAACTGCAACTGGAGAAAATGAAGAATACAAACGTAGTTCTAATTGTTGGAGAGCATAGATTTTAGTCCAGTTTGCAAACAAACTAAAAAAGTACTTCGTTGCAATAACAATGCAGAAAGTATGCACATTCAGATCACTACAGATACCAATTCCAAATTTCATATTCGTCAATTGTCCCTAGCATTCCTACTCCGTTTGTTAAGTAGTGCTTACATGTGTTGTATTCACGCTGGCAGTCCCTTTTCTCTTCAATATACCTTTGTTCTTGTGATAATAGGCTTTCTCGTAACCTTTCCCTCATAGTCAGGATGACTTAGTATGATTATAATGGCTGCTTTTGTGAATCATTGGTGCAGATTGCTATGCATTGGCAACTTGTGGTCCACAAACTGAAAATCAGAATATCACAGCATATGGTATCTTGTTCTTTGTAAGTCTCAACCACACCCTGGACAGCATAATCTATTGAGAAAAAACATCCACTTATTGATTTACTTCTGCTGTTGGTATTTATATATATTTGGTTAATACAGGTTTTGTCACAGAAATATTTTAACTAGAACAAGTAGATCTCAGTCTATACTGCTGCAGAATCTCCTGAAATGTAAATAGATATAAAAGATTACTTCATTAATTGTCAAATTTAGAATATTCATTTCTCCATTTCCTTCTTTTAGATCAGCAACTCCATTAATTGTGAAATTCATCCTTCTCATTTCTCCATTTCCTTGTTTATGTAGTGTGGCATCATGCTTGTACTCCTCATTATATATAATTTCTCTGATCAAGTGTTGAGTACTAGAGAGAAAAGGCAAGCAAAATCCAGGGAAGCAGCTGCAAAAAGTGCTAGGGAAACTGTACAGACACGAGAGAAATGGAAATCTGCAAAAGATATTGCTAGAAAAGCAAGTGGCCTTCAAGCACAGTTATCACGAACCTTTACTCGAAGTAAATCTAAGCAGGTACAAGAACAGCATAAGACCATTGGCCAACCCAAACCAGGAACAGATGCTGCTTTGCCAACAATGCCCGCAGATTCTTCTCACCAGAAAGGAAAAGGAGGAAATCTCACAAAAATGATGCAAGAACTTGAAGAAAACCCTGATGGTCATGACGGCTTCAATGTTGAGATTGGAGATAAGAACCTGAAAAAGCAAAGGGCTAAACAGTTGCAAACTCGGAGCCAGATCTTCAAATATGCTTATGGCCAAATTGAGAAAGAAAAAGCTATGCAGGAACAAAACAAGAATTTGACATTTTCTGGAGTAATCTCGATGGCTGCTGATAACGAAGTAGTCACAAGACCACCAATCGAGGTGGCTTTTAAAGAATTAACGCTAACTTTGAAAGGGAAAAATAAGCATCTATTAAGATGTGTAAGTGGAAAGCTAATGCCTGGCCGAGTTTCAGCTGTCATGGGTCCATCCGGGGCTGGTAAAACGACCTTTCTTTCTGCATTGACTGGAAAAGCCACTGGGTGCACCAAGGCTGGATTAATTCTCATAAATGGTAAGGTTGAACCAATGCAGGCATACAAGAGAATCATCGGATTTGTTCCCCAAGATGATATAGTGCATGGGAACTTGACAGTGGAGGAGAACCTCTGGTTCAGTGCACGGTGCAGGTATGTATACGTGCTGTTCATTTCTAAAAAGAACGTCCATCAATCTTTTCTCTTTCTCCACTGTTTCCCGTTGATGACCTTTCTCTGCATTTCTAATTGAAGATTAGAAGCTGATCTACCCAAACCAGAAAAGGTTTTAGTTGTTGAAAGAGTCATTGAGGCCTTAGGCCTGCAGCCAGTGAGGGACTCTCTGGTAGGAACTGTGGAGAAGCGAGGAATTTCAGGAGGTCAGAGAAAGCGAGTTAATGTTGGTTTGGAAATGGTCATGGAGCCTTCTTTACTGATCTTGGATGAACCTACGTCAGGGTTGGATAGTTCCTCTTCTCAGTTACTACTTAGAGCTCTTCGCCGTGAATCACTTGAAGGGGTAAACATATGTATGGTGGTACATCAACCAAGGTGACTTTTGCAATCAAAGCCTCTGAATGACACCTTTATTTAGTTTAAATAAGAGCACCAATTTCTACCATGTGCATCTCACCCATTGCTTTTTCCATGCTGCAGTTACACATTGTTCAGGATGTTTGATGATCTGATACTCTTAGCTAAGGGCGGTCTTATTACATATCTTGGACCTGTAAAGAAAGTTGAAGAGTACTTTTCAAATATTGGGATCGTTGTCCCTGACCGCGTTAATCCTCCAGATTACTATATTGACATTCTGGAGGGAATTGTAAAACCAAGTGTAAGTTCTGGAGTGACAGCCAAAGACCTTCCTTTGAGATGGATGCTTCATAATGGTTACCCCGTACCACCAGACATGTTAGATTCTGCTGGAATGCCAGCACCTGGAGGATCATCCCATGGCGGTGCAACGCCTGGAGCTGCAGGGTCAACTGGAGAGCAATCTTTTGCTGGAGACCTCTGGGAAGATGTCAAGTTTAACGTTGGACAAAAGACGGATCATTTACAGCATAATTTTTTGACCTCGCAGGACCTATCTGGAAGAAGAACTCCAGGTGTATTTGTGCAATACAAATATTTCCTTGGAAGGTATTACAATAACTCATTGTTTTCTTTCTTTTGAATTCTTACAGCATATAAGTAAATTATTTCTATCTCTAACTATATCTTGTGGCATTAAGGTAATTACAGTTGTAATAGAAATTCTAAGCAATTTTTAGCCACAACCAACACCGTTCCATTGCTGAAGATCTGAATAAGCTTGAATGTTTTCCCTATAGTTTCTGCTAAAGTGTACCACCTTAATGTGATCAGGGTCGGTAAGCAGCGATTACGAGAGGCAAGGACACAAGTGGTGGATTTTCTGATTTTGCTACTAGCAGGAATATGCTTAGGAACCCTAGCTAAAGTGAGTGATGCAACCTTTGGGGCCACAGGGTATCTCTACACTGTTATTGCAGTCTGTAAGTTTCAATCTGCAATCTTCTGCATTTCTTATGCTTGTGTTCTTTCCTAGTCGTAATTCGATTATAGAATTTCTTTTCTGAATTCGGATCCATATAACTGAGCACAATTGCAACATGTGATCTTATCCGACCCCACATCCGAAATGTTCAAAATAAAGGCTTAATTATTGTTTTATTATCTTTCGTTTCTGATCATCCTCTGCATTCTTATTGATCTAACGCAGTATTTACCCACCTTCAGCTCTTCTGTGCAAGATTACGGCTTTAAGATCATTCTCGCTAGATAAGTTGCATTACTGGAGGGAAAGTGCTTCTGGGATGAGCAGCTTGGCTTACTTTCTTGCGAAGGATACAATTGACCATTTTAACACTATCGTAAAGCCGGCAGTTTATTTGTCTATGTTCTACTTCTTCAACAATCCAAGATCAAGCATTTTCGATAATTATATCGTGCTCATCTGTCTGGTGTACTGTGTTACTGGCATCGCTTATGCACTTGCCATCTACTTCGAAGCCGGCCCTGCCCAATTGGTGTGTATTTGAATTCTTATTTAATCAAAACGTCAATTTTAGATTCTTCTTTGCTAACAAATTGAGTTTGTCCATTTTAGTGGTCGGTCTTGCTCCCAGTTGTTCTGACACTGGTAGCAAACCAGGAGGGTGACACATTTTTGAACAAAGTAGGGGATTTCTGCTATACAAAATGGGCTCTGGAAGCATTTCTACTAGCAAATGCCAAAAGGTTCGACACAACTACCATTTTCTCTCTTTACCTAACTGAGTTCATCTGCCAACAAAATCTTTCATTTTGCATGCCACGACTATATACCTACCATATGCATACCCAATCCAACCTAGTTCGACTCTTATTTTTTATTCTCACTTCTAATTTTCTTACTCCCAGGTACTCAGGAGTGTGGTTAGTCACAAGATGTGGTTCACTGAAACAAAGAGGGTATCACCTCAATGATTGGTATCCATGTTTGGCATACCTGATTGCTACTGGTTTACTAAGTCGTGCTCTAGCTTTCTTCTGTTTAGTGACCTTCCAGAAAAAATAAGCCATGTCTGATAAAACCTTAAAAGCATTCAACATAGCATGCACTTCCCTCAAAGTTGGACAAAAGCTGGGATAAGATATTTTTTCATATACCTCCGAAACATCTTCTTTTCCTACCATGGTGCTTTGATCGATGAACTTTTTCCGGCAAGTCTCATGCAGCAGATGTAACATAAACATCATATTGCCAGTTGTTAGCACACAGTCATTCTGGATTTGGGCAATGCATAGCAAGTTCAAACCTTTAAGACTACAAATCGTCCGGCCAACAATTCAAATATGAGATTGGCAGGGTGTACTTTTGAAGAATGTTTTGGTAACTTTGAACACATTTTTTTTGCCAAGAATCATGTGACCAATACTTGTATATACGTCTGTATAGTTTTCTTTAAAAGATGACTGGGATTGTTGTCCAATGTCCATAGTTAACACTACCTAGACTGACGCTAATTAGCATAGTTATTGTACTGCTTATGATAGGCCTTTTAATTTTGTACTAAAGAATCACATCCGAGGCATTTCATATGATTATACCGTCTGCAATAATTTGTTCTCATACCCAAAGCACATCCAACAAATGTTTCTGATTTTACACAACTCCTTGTAACAGCATTACAGCTGACTCGACTTCATCACCAGTTTCCAATCGATTAATCACAATCTTTTGTAACTACGACTAAGTAGATGACTCAAAAAGTATTAAAAGGAGCTTGATTATTTCAAAATCGGTAGTTATCAATCCAGAAGATGCTAGTCATACAAAGAAAATCAATTCTATGTTTGATCGTATCATCCAACGCTATTGTCAATGTTGGAGATTCCGGCACATTCAGATTAGAATCAATGCCTAAATGGTCAGACCTTATCTGATATGGTTTCTTGTGACACTAGCCATCATCAAAACCCACCTTTCAACTTTGTTCAGTTTATCTTTCCATCAGTTTGCTCAACAGCATTATCTGTCATAGATCCAGCTTCAATTCCGGCCTGGGAATCGTGATCCTGAAATGTGCAAAATTTAGAATAACCTAGTTAAAAGGACAAATAAAAAAGGAGACACATGGTCATAGGCAAAAATATATTGCAAAAAGAACCAGAGTTCAGCGACTAGAGCTGAGGGTTACCTATTGAACGTGGAACCCTGACAATGAAGTGTCACTTCCAGACCATATCTCCCATAAATTTAAGAGCCGGAATGCCCCTAATTTCAACATCAAATAGAGGAGCCTGAACTATTTTCAAATTTGATAATTCTTTGTCCCTCTGAATCAATTCTAAGGCACGCATTTGATCCTGGAAGATTTAAAATAGAGAAAAGGTAAAAAAAGACATGCACTACAAAATCTGACGCACAAAACTGCTACATCTTGACTAGCTTGTGGTAATTCAAGTAGCTCGATATTAGTTTCTAGAAAGACAGGCAACAAATAGTAGGGTTTGTACTATTATTACATGTGGCAGTTACAGCATGTTAAACCAAGATTAAAGTTCAACCTATTTGTCGAAAAGGCAAAAAAGATGAAGGGGAAAAAATGCTCAAAGAAAGCCAGGGAAAAAAAAAAAATAAATCATCCTGAAAGTTGCCAAATATTTGAAGACTTGCCTTCCTTCTAATTGCACAAAATTTGCAATCTGTAGATTCAGGTAGCATTTGATTTAATATGAGCCTATGTACTGGGACCCTTTCCTTCTTAAGGGAGGCGCATAATCTTGAAGATTCACTAACTGCCATAGCCTGGTTGAAAAAATCACAGAACCATGAATTTAAAGGTGATACTCAAGCACAGCAATAAGAGTAAATATGGAACAAATGATCTGATTATAGTAACTTCTATAAGATAACCAGAACCTGTAGACCAGTCATTAATCTAAGTTTCCCATTTAAACTTCTAATAAATATACTTGACCATAGTACAGCATATTAGAACTCACTGTGGGAATTGTCACTATAATGAACTCCATTGTCTTTGGGTCACGGAAAAGATCTCGCACTTTTGACATCCTTTCTCTCAACTGCTCTAGCTTGTTATCCTGCAGTATAGACAAACGCACCCTAAGAGTTCTCATTGATACTCCAGAACTCATATAACAAATCGACCATTGCCGCCGCTTACAGGAATTTGTTTTGGTTCTTCCTTCATGAAAACAGATTTAAGGGCTGCAGTTGTTGAAGCAATCTTCTCCTTCAGCTGAATTAAGCATTATAATGAACAATACTTAGCAACTAAAACCCGAACATGAAACCATAATCATTTCAAGCACAAAGATGTTTATCTCCTCCAAACAAAACACACACAGCACACGTAAGCAATTTCAGGTCGAGCGCAAAAGTTAAATGACGCAAGGGAATTAAAAATTTGAAAGGCAATCAAGACCAACTTTGCATCTCTGTTAAATTTACTAAGCAATAATCAACAGCTCAAATTCGAGTAAGCAAATTGAAACAACATGAAAGTAAAGGCACTCATTCATGAATCTAGTCTCATACCTTCATCATCTTGCCTATAGAGGTATCCAGGAAATCAGGCAATGATAAAAGTCGAAGAGTGTGACCCTGTAGAAACAATAGATGTATCAATCTAAAAGAAAAACCTCAAAGAGTATGGGGCCAGTAATTCTGACTTACAGTGGGTGCAGTGTCAAAAACTATCCGAGTAAAGCTATTATACTCCTGTGACTCCACGAATTGCATGACCTGAAAAGTAATTAGTTCTTCGTTTAAACAGAAAAATGTGAAACTATTACAAGAACCAGCAAACAGATGATCCTAGCAGCAGAATAGCATGCCTTTGAGATTGCCATCGCTTCATCTAGACCAGGTGGAGGAGTGTCCAATAGTTCTCCCAGTTTCAGGTCTTCCAGCTGTAAAACAAATTCACAAGAAGAAGGCTCAGAACAAACATCCATACTGCAGACTTCAGGGAATATTAAAATTTCCCAAGAAAATGTATAAAAAGCCAAAGGGCGCCTCCTCCAGTAAGTAAAAATTGCAGCATTTCTGGATTCTCTTACTTCCCTAGTGGGATCTTTAGTCAACCCCAAGCAAATTTATAAATGTATCAGATATCTACTAAGCCATATCATCACATCAAGTTTATTATATTCCGTGTATGGATCTCTTGAATAAATCACTGATGCCAAAGCATGGTCCTTTACTTATTGTCTGTATTTATATCTTTTGTTTTAGTTTTTATTCCTTTTTATTTTTTCAAGCATGAGTTGGAACTTCCTTCATTGCTGTTCCTAAACTATTTACCAGCACAAAGAAAAAAAAGATAACCAAGGCAGTTCTATGGGTAACAAATAAACAAGTTACCAAAAGTTTCAAATCTCAGCTCATTGGAGGTAAACCACGAAAATAAACCAAAGTAGTTCATAAAAACTAACCTGCTGAGAAAGCATTCCAAGGCCCATGCTGTCCATGAAATTTTTTACACCAGCACCACCATCCTTTTGAATTGCAGAACGAAAATCTTCCTTGGTTTTCTCAGGGTTAATCTACCACAAGATAATTGGTTGTCTTAGAGTGCAAGGACATAATATGCAAGCAGTGAAAAGAACACCATATAGCCAAAGTAGAAAACCTCAAGTGCGAACAAAGGGGAATCCATTCCTTCAATTGGAACAAGAGCCCCTCCTGTCAAATCCTGGACAGTCCAGTGAATATAGACAAATTTACTTTAATTTTAGCATTTGCAAGTCAATAAAGAAACTCTAATCAGAATAAAATGAAAATGCAAGTGCAATGACATGCCTGATCAAAAGAATCACTAAGCGAATGAGCAGGATCAGTAGAAACTACAATTGTGGGGTGTCCGTGATTTGCAAACTTTACAGCAAGAGATGCAGCACAACTAGTTTTCCCAACTCCTCCTTTCCCGCCCAACATATAGTATTTTCGCTCAGCCCCAGACACCAAGTCACCGAACCCAGCAAAAGTCTTAGCAGGGGTGCTTATTGGCCTCACTAAAAGAAAAAAGAGGCAAACAAATTATGAGGCACAAAAGGAACTGCCAACCATAAAGGAACTACTAGCAAACAAATTATGAGGTATGAAGGGAACTACTAACCATAAAGGAACCACTATCTAACATAATCATGATGGGATCTTACATATCTGAATAGGAGATAGACGAACTCTCTTTCCACATGCGGAAAAGAAGAAAAAGGAATTTGATCCTTTGCTAGTATCACTTGCAACATAGCATTATACAGGATACAGTTTATGCATATTCACCAACTTTTATACCACTACTAGGCTATTTCATCCTCTGGGATGCCAGTTACATTTTAAAAACATAAAGCTAGAATCCACGCCCCTAAGCTCTGGCACAAAGGTTAAAGTGGCGGGAGCAAAGGTATCCAAGAGAAATCTCAAACTTGTCCATATCTCAAAAAGAAAATCAATGAAAACCCATGAAGGATTCATAATCAATGGAATTAGCCAAGCTTCATTACAGATCAAATTTCGTTTTATTGAGCTGTGAATTTAATCGCCATTACCCAAAACAAAGGAAACATACAGAACAGAAAAGGGAAGACCTTTAATACGATCATGTATATTATTAGTAGCACATAAAAGTGGGAGGCAGAATACCTTGAGGAGGGTTTATGAAGGGTTTAGGAGTAAAAGGGGTAATTGCTGAATTGAAGTATCGGGATTTGGAGACGCGGCGGAAAAGGGTGGCAACCGCCATTGCTGACTGATTTCTTCTTCAGTGGCAGCCACCCAATGATTGTCGGAGCTTCTTTGCTGGCGTGTTCCCCTGTTATATTGGCGTCCAAACTCAGTAAGCAGGGAAGTGTAGAGAGTAAACTAAACTAAAACTAGCAGTGTTTGCCTCTTTCGAAGTTCAATAGGCTATTTTCGTATTATTGAACCGCCATAAATTGTTAGGTTGTGGTTGTTTACTGCCCTCAGTGTCCTAGAAAATTTTAAGCCAATTACTGTATCTGTTCCGTCCCATTTTAGTTCACTTTAGCGAGATGACGACGACAATCCTTACTTATTGCGTTTTTAGCACAACAATGTGCTTTTGCGCCCATTGCATTATGCGCTAAACGAGCTAAATATCGAGTGAATCATCAATAATTCACATGTTAATGACTGATAACTACGTTTTCTGATGAATAATGTAGTAGTATGTAATCCGAATACCCAACAAAAATAAGAGCGGGAGGAGTCAAAATTTCGAATAACTATAACAGAAGTGAAAAGGAACAGTACTTCCTAATGATTATAAACCACAAGCTGTTGAAAACAACAGATGGAAAAGCGAAAACAAGGAAGAGGTTTTGAGAAGCAAAGAACCAAGACTTAAAAAGTAAAATTTGCTCCTCGAAAATAAAAAGTTAGCAATTCTTCCAAACTCCTGCATCTTGGCTCTAACTTTATCATTCTTATGCCGCGATAATGAATCGAGTGTGTACAGGCAATTTTGATGCTGCCACTGTGATTGCCTTTTTGGCTATACTTTCTGATACTCCACTAACTTCATAAAGTATTCGACCTGGTTGAACAACAGCTACCCAAAATGACACGTTTCCTTTCCCTCTTCCCATACGCGTTTCAGCAGGTCTTGTTGTCACTGGTTTGTCACAGATAGCTCGTACCCATATTTTGGCAGCACGGCCTACGATTCTTGATAGCGCTCGACGACCTGCTTCTAATTGTTTGGATGTGATCCAAGCTGGTTCGAGTACTTGAAGAGCATAGTTGCCAAAGGCCACAAAATTCCCTCGGTGCGATATCCCTTTCATGCTTCCTTTACGTTGTTTGGCAAATTTGATCTTTTTGGTAGCACATTTAATGGTTCTCGCTTTACCGCTCTGTGCAATATAACTGTACTCAAGAATAGCATCTAGGGATAATGATCTAGCAGCTGCATAAAATGCCTCTTCAACATCGAGTGCTTCATGTAGACCAGGTGGAAGAGTGACCAATAGCTCTCCAAGTTTCATTTCTTCCTAATATAAGTTGATAAAAGAAAGGTGAGCAATGAACACGTATACATCAAAACCCTGCTAATTCTAATATTGCTTCCTTCAGCAAGCCAAACATAGAGTAAACTTCCCAATTCCCAGATGGTTTTAGAAAACCATGATTGTATTTTTAGGGAAATGGGAGACATCTAAAGCCACGAACTAGCATTCATGTTGAGCATCTATACAATTTGCAAACTGAACAACAAACAAGATATATCTTGTTCTGTTATTTTCTTGGCCCGTTGAATTTGTTCTTCCTAATTAATATTCTACTTTCCACACTAATAAGTGTAATTATTTTGCACATATTGATCGGAGCCATCGCAGCTACCATGAAATGATTACCAGTAAATAGAAGAAAATGCTAAACAAATAGAAATTTCTTCGCTAAGAACTAATCTACCCCCTTCAACTAAAGCATTGAATCTAAAGTTCAAACTTCAAATCAGCTTAAAACAGAAAAAAGGCAGGGCACATTGACTCACCTGCTGAGAAAGCATTCCAAAGCTCATGCTGCCTTTGAAATCTTTGACACTATCATCATTATCTTCCTTTGTGTTTTCAGAGGTTATCTAAAGCCACAGAACTGGTTGATTAGAGTTTGAATATCATCATACATGCAAGTAAAGATGTAAGATAAATCATCCAACGAAACATTACCTCAAGTGATAGCAACGGAGAATGCATTCCTTGAATCGGAAGAAGAGATGTTCCATTCGTGAACTGGACATAAACAGGAAACACACATGATCTTCAATTGTACTTCAGAGAGTTAGAAGGAAGGTTTTCTTGTATGCAATTGAAAGAGAATAACATGCCTGGTCAGAAGAGTCACCAGGCAAAGCAGGATAGGTAGAAATTCCATAAGGTGGGTTGTTGTGGTCAGCGATTTTTCCAGCAGTAGATGCAACACGACTTATTTCACCAAAACCTCCTCTATCACTAAACAAATTGTATTTCTTTTGGGGCCCAGAAACCATCTCCGCAAACCCAGCAAGAGTTTCAGCAGGGCTGGAAATTGACCTCCCTAAACGAAGGAAAAATGAAAAATAAATAAATCTATAAGAATTTCTCAGGGGAGATATCTAGTTCTCTAGTCTAGAATGCATTCTTTCACAATAATGAGCATTCTCTTCCAATAAGGTACCTTGGTGCTAGACAAAAAGAAATCGCACAACAACATGGCAGACAGCTGTTAATTAGTTAATCAAAACTCTAGGGTTAGAAGCAGTCTGGTTCTAGGTACAAACACATGCTTACAAAGCGTGACCTTGGTGTGCCATAGATGCTACTTTTTCAGTAACCAAATGTTGCAATCAATCATTCTCAAAAAGATTATCTTTTGGAGACTTGGAATTAATGGCAGAAGTTCATCAATCCATTTTACACAGCTTTAAACTACAGCCCCCAAGGTAAAATATAAATGCAAAGTAGGTTATCCGAATAGAAAGTAGAACTCTAGACACCACCACAGAAAAATTTTGGTTTGCGCAATTTCACAAATAGGAAGTGTGCGACCTCGCAGCCTTAAATTCTAAATATCAATATCCTAACTCACACTACTTAATTTGTGTTCTTTGGGTTTATATATGCTTAAATTTCAAAGCTTTATCTATGGAACTGATACTATATTGGCAGTAACATACTACATTGGCAAAAACAATCCGAAGATTCCAAACCCATAAGATGAACATAATGCAGCAGCACACTAGTAAAAGTTCCTTCAGCTGAAACAAAATGCTCAAAATAATACGCGAACCCATTAAGAATCGTGAAGATAAACCAAACAAGAACAAATAGAAAGAGCAATCTATCGACTGGTTTTACCTTGAGAAGGGTTTATGCGGGGTTTTGGGTGGTGAGGAGTAGTAGGAAGGGTGTTGAAGTTTCTAAGTTTCTGAAATGTTGAACTGAAACTATGAGATTTAGACATCTGACGAAAAATGGAGCCAATCGCCATTGCTAAAATCTTCCTTCTTCAGTCCCCCCCAGTCTCGGCCGGCAGTCCGGAGTTCTTCAATTTGATTCGATTCCGATCAATTTCATTTGTACCTTATGCAGCAATCTGGGTTGTATTGTCTGAGTTAAACTCGCAAGTCAAAAAGACCCAAAAGACCCTGCCTCATTCTTCAAGGGTTTATTTCATTAATTGGGTAACAAAATATAAATCCATATATGATTTACGAACCAAAATCCTCTCTGATTGGCCAATTTTTATTTTATTTTTTTAGAGAAAGAGTGGAGACTTACAAATATATATATATATATAGATAATTCGCTTTCATTATAAGAGCATTTATCGACGTTAATTATATGATTTTATATGAGAACTCTCAAAAAGGTTCTAAAATTATATGTGAGATGTCCATAAATAGAGTGATTAATCATGTAAAATAAGGTCCAGTAACAAGTTTGGTACAAAATCGAAGAGCGAATCAGAAAGACGGTGAAATTGGAGAGGAAACTAGAAAAATAGAAGAAGCAACCCTAACTCTCTACATTACATTGCAAAGAAACTCAAATTCAAAATTTTCTCCGAGGAGTAATTTTTGTTTTAAAAAAAAAAAAATGGTCCGAGAAGTAAGTAAAGTGACTCTCACCATTGAGTTCCAACTTATTTAGAGATGTTATCACATTCCATTTTTGGTTTTAAATCAATCATCAGAAGTCATAGCTAGTGTGGTTTAAATCAATCATCTAAAGTTCTCAACTTTGTACTTGATATTTAAAAAAAAAAAAAAAAAAAAAAAAAAAGAGCAAAAGTAGTAGTAATGCTTTTTTTTTTTTTTAAATGGATAATGAGTAATTTTTTATTGCTAAACCAACCAAATAGAGAGAAGTGAAGTGTGTTTATAGTTTATACTCCCTCCGTCCCACAATTATTGTCCAGTTTAAGTTTTCATTTCTAGTTCAAATTGTAACAAAAATAAAATTTCAAACTGAACAATAATTTTAGGACAAAGGGTTTACATATTATAACTTTCCAAACTCCTGAAAGAAAATACTGCAAGTGCAAGCTACGCCAAATTAAGCCCACCACTGCATAATGAATCTACATTACCCAACCACAGCCCTTCCAGTCGGTTTGCCAAATTTCCCACTCCCGAAAGCTCCCTTCCACCTTCTTCTTCTTCTTCTTTTTCCACATTCTATAATTCCTTTTCCTTCTTCTTTTTTTTTTTTCTTTTTTTCCCATGCATTATTCATCTCACATCTTTTCACTTTCTGATCAACATCAATCAAACCTCAACAACAACATTAACAACTAAACTTCCATATTTGCTTTGTCCTAAAGCCTACTTCTTCTCTCTGCTTTCTGGCCATTGGTATTTTTTGATCATTTTCATGAGTATTCTTAATTTCATATATACCATTTTCTACAATGGTTTCTTTCACCTCTGAGGGTTGAAGAACTGATTCTCTGTTTATCCACCATTGTATAGCTAGCAAACAATTTTGTTGGAATCAATTTATGGCCACCAAGGCGGTTATGCAAGTTCAGTCGTCGCCAAGTCATCATCTGCATCATATTGTAAGTCTTTCTAGCTAGCATTTCTCGCTTTCTAGTTTTCAGGATGAAATAGGACTTCATTTTCATGGTTTCTCGTTCTTGAGTTGCATAAATTAAGTTTGTACTATAAATTAAATTTGAGTTTTTGAGCATTGTCTTCATCAGTGTATTTTTGAGGTTAATCATGGGCTCATTGTTTGCATTTCAGAGAAAGAATAAATTTGGTGGACAGGACAAGAAAGAGGAGCTTGAAAGAGAGGTATTTTAAGGAAATGGTCTTATTAATTGTACATTAGTTTCTAATAGTAAAAGAATATAATGCATTCTCCAACAATAAATTACCTTTGATTAATTTAGTTTTCGCTTTAACTTTTTTACTTTTGCTTCCTCCGTCTCGAAAAAAGAGTCCTCTTTGTTCAACCTGATGTCTTATTTCTCACATGTCTTGATCGTACCCACTTTTTTTCATAGAATTAGACGGCTTTTAGCTGATTTTGAGAATTAATCAATATAATTAAGTGATACAATTTGATGACATTATTTAAGGTTGAAGTGCTACGGAAAATGCTGGATCATGAAGAGAAGGTACACGAATTTCTGGAACGTGTGTATCATCATCGACCGGATGGTAGCACATCATCAAATTCCAATAGTGGTAGTAGTAGCCTTTCCATCCCTAATTTCCTTCCTCCAAAGGTAAGTAAAGTATATATACTACACTATTTATCTGTTCCTTTTTGCATGACCCTTTTGTTGAGAGAGTAGTTAGGTACAAACAATAGATGATCTCATGGGGGAAAAAAAAACCATCCAAAACCATATGACATATGTGATGCTGTCAAATCATCATCACCACAATAAACTTGCAACTGAAGTTGTTGAATGTTCGATCATTAGAGAACTTTGATTCTAAGGCTTTTGTTTGGATATTGTCTCGTTTTGATATTCTCTTTTTTTGCTATTTTATCATGCATTATGACACAATTAGTGATGGATTTTTTCGTCCCAGGAAAATAGCCTACTTATTGAATTATATAATAAATGTACTATTTTTCTAGATTCGTTCCGGTTTGATAACTTGATTTCAATTTGAAATTGCATTAGATGAAAGAGCTTCTAGCTGAGTTGGCAATGGTGGAAAATGAGATTACTAGATTAGAAAGCCAAATTAGCCAACTCAAAGCTGATCAATTGAAGCTCCAAAAGGATCAACCACCACCACCTCCCAAAACATCTCTAAACAGTTATCATGGATCAATATCAAGCCCTCTTCCAAATGGCTCCAAGGAAATTCCAAAGGAGAAGAAGGTAGCATTTGAAACCAAGGCCTTACATTTCATCAGCAAAGCCATTAAAGGTGATTACAATCTGAGTGACTTCAGCATTAGTGAAAAAGTATTGAAGCCCAAAGTCTCTTCTTCATCATCAACAAACCAAAAGAAAGATCCAATAATTGAAGAAGAATATTTTCCAGTTAATAAGAGTAATACCACAATAAAAAAGAGTGGGATGCTGAAACCATCATCGCCTATGAGAGAGCCTAGGTATTCTACACCATGGGTACGTTTGTAGAGAAGTCTTTTCTTTTCTTTTTTTTTTCTTTTTTTTTTGTTTCCTCATTTATATCTTGATGCTAAATTAATGGTTGGGGATGAAATAGTTGGGGATGCCTTCAATTTATCATCCCCAAAGTCATGCTGAAGTTATCTCGAAGAGGAAGATATCATATCGTTCTATAGTAAATAATACATATCTCACTTATTGTGTATCAATCGTATCTTATTAGTGAAATGATATTAATTTTATATATACAAATCTCAAATAAACTAATAATACCGATGAAAGACGATTATTTTATTGTCGTCGAACGGTTAATACATAATAAGTTCTATTTCAGAGAGAACGGAATTCGGAAATTCCACCAAAAGTAACAACATCAACTCCTCCTCCTCAAGTCGGTCTAGAAGAAGAGAGCATCCACAAATGGGGTCCCAACAAATTATCAGAAAACATCATGAAATGCCTGCTTTTGATTTTTGTGAGACTACTCCGGACATCCAGAACAATGGAGCTAGAAAAATCAGGCCCACTTTCAAGGTCCACAAACTTCTCCATGAGCTTCAGAGCTGAGCCCAACTCAAGTATCAAGAGTGGCCTTTTGGTACAGAAAGACTCAAGACAGCAAGATCCATATGGAATCTTTGACTCGGATGAGTCCATTACAAGAGACATTGGCCCATATAAGAATTTGGTCATTTTCACAACCAGCTGTATGGATCCCAAGTGCATCTCCAGTTCAAGCTCCCTCCCTCTATTTCAAAAGCTAAAGTAATTATTTTCACCTAATGTCCTCGTCGATTATTTTTTACTCTTTCCGTCCCAAAAAAAAAGTTATATTGTTTATGATTGATTGATGTTTTATACTTTTGAAATCACGCAGGATATTATTGAAGAATTTACAGAAAGTGGACTTGAGACACATGGCTTATCATCAGAAATTAGCGTTCTGGATCAACATGTACAATGCGTGCATTATGCATGTAAATTATGTTAATTATTTAGGCTATATAAGTTTTTCATTCTTTATATATGTATGAACTAATGGTTTCTAAAAATAGTAAGTACTGATCTTGTTGTCCCCAGGCTTTTCTTCAACATGGGCTTCCCTCTAATACCAGCCCCGAAAAATTATTGACACTGCTCAACAAGGTATATTTTATTTAATAATATTCATTTTTCTTTTCCAGCAAAAATAAAAAAGAGTACCATTTTTTGACATTTTGAAACATATTCAGGCTACCTTAAATATTGGAGGTACTACAATGGCTGCAAGGGCAATTGAACTTTCAATTTTGAGGAAACCAACATCATTACTTATGAAAGAGGTAAGATTGACAAGAAGGAGGGGGGACATATTCCTTCATCCCAAAAATGATTATTATGTTAATTAATGTCTTTTGTTATATATAGGTACTTGGAAAGGGTGATCAATCAGAGAGTAACAAGCTGAGGGAACGGTTTGGTTTTGAGCCATATGATCCAAATGTCACCTTCGCTTTGTGTTGTGGCACACGTTCGTCTCCAGCAGTAAGCAACTATAAAATCTTCTCCAATTTATCCTACTTTTCAGATTCTTTGTCCAACAATTTCTTTGTTCTTATGTTTTACTTTGTCAAATGCATCATTGATAATGCTATACAAAAGAGTAAGATTTATTACTAAGACCATATTATCAATTTGATAGTATCACATAAGTAAGACACGAAAAGTGAGACAGACGACTATATATTATACGCAGGTAAAAATATACACTGCGGATGGGGTGACGGCAGAGTTAGAGAAGTCCAAGCTAGAGTACTTGCAAGCTTCAATAATCGTAATGAGTACAAGAAGGATTGCAATCCCAGAGCATCTACTTCTACACATGCATGATTTTGCTGAAGACATTGAATCATTAATGGAGTGGGTTTGTCACCAATTGCCCACATCTGGATCCCTTAGAAAATCCATAGTTGATTGCTTCAGGGGGATTGCAATTGGCAAGGCTTCCACCATTATTGACAAGATTCCTTATGATTTTGAGTTCCAATATCTCTTGACAATGTAAAAAGAAAAGAGAAAGGAAATGTTCAGAAACAGTTTGCACAAAATATTGATGTATTAATACTAATTCTTTCTACTTGCTAACATTAGCGTGTGTTTATCAAAAATTAGGACATAGAAGCCTGACTAACTATCTATGCTAGGTGTCGAACATGAGAAATAATCTATCACAAAATTAGTTTTTCTTTTAATGTATCTTAGTCATATCGTTTTCTACAAGTAAATAATCTGTCGCAAAATTAGTCTTTCTATTAATGCATCGTAGTCATATCGTTTTCTGTAAGTTGGTTTCTTCCTTAGCGTTTTAAATACGTTGGTCTCTTCTCAGTAATTGCCGTGTGTGGAGGGAGAAGAGTAAACGCTCGGGGAAGTTGACTCCTTATGTTCCCTTTTTCCACAATGGACAAAGAAAGCATTAACAACTTTTTTGTGGCATCCATTAACTAAAAGTTGTTATATACTCTCTTGTATGTTTTTGCCCGGACTAAGAAAATCCAAAAAATGGAAAAATTCTTCAGCGTTTCACTGCTGATTTGCTTGTTCTTGCAGTTTTTATCAGTGGGTCATTCATGGAAGAATCTGGTATTGCTTGATCTGGGCTCCAACATGCTTGAAGGGCCATTGCCGTCTTCCCTCTGCAAATTGGCCAACTTGAATTACCTTCTTCTGTCCGACAACAAGTTGACCGGTGAAATTCCGGAGTGTTTTGGGAATATGAGCACCCAACTCACGGTGTTGGACTTGCGGAAGAATGGATTCCACGGCAAGATTCCGACCAATTTCCCGAAGAACAACACTTTGAGGAATCTTGGTCTGAATGGGAATCAGTTAGAAGGCACCCTGCCCAAGTCTATTCTCAACTGTAAAAGCTTGGAAGTCCTCGACGTCGGAAACAACAAGATTAAGGATACTTTTCCGACATGGCTCGGACAATTGACAGAGCTCAGTGTTCTTGTCCTGAAATCGAATTTGTTCAGTGGCCCAATTGGGATTAGTTCCAATTCATCGTTTCAGAAGCTCCGAATTCTCGACATTTCCAAAAACCAGTTTGATGGCATCGTACCAGCAGGAATGATCGATAGTTTTCAAGCTATGAAGAGGGGTCCCAACCAAACACAAGAGGGAGCAAAATACATGGGTGACAATTCATATTATCAGGATTCAGTAACTTTGTCGATTAAAGGGCTTGAAATTGAGGTAAAACGGATCTTGACAATTTTTACAACCATTGATTTGTCCGGAAACAGATTTAAAGGAAACATTCCGAAAGAAATTGGAGAGCTCAATTCACTCAAGGTGCTGAATCTTTCAAGCAATGGATTTAATGGTTCAGTCCCACCAACAATCGGGGACTTGTCTGCGCTAGAATCCTTAGACCTTTCCCAGAATCAACTCGGCGGCAGAATCCCACCTCAGATTGGGAAGCTGAATTTTCTTTCGGTCTTGAACGTTTCTCATAATCAGCTTGTCGGACCAATTCCCACAGGTGGGCAGTTTAATACATTTATTAATCCAACTTCTTTTACTGGGAATCCAGGATTATGTGGCTACCCACTTGGTGATTGTGGTAGATCAGGGGAGGGATCAGACTCACCTTCGAGTAATGATCAAACTGATGAATTCAGAGGGCTTACATGGGAATCAGTGGTATTGGGATTTGGCACTGGATTAATTTTTGGATTGTTCATTGGATCTGTGATGTTCTATACTGGTCAGCCAAGATGGTTTAATTCAATAATCGAAGATATGATATTCGAATTGAAAAGACGAAGAAGAATCCTCAACAGGCGCAATTTAAGGTTGGTTTGATGAGATGAGTCCCTTACCTCAGAGATGCATATGATTACTACTGATTTTTACGTTGTATAGTAATGTAATTTGTGTTTTGTTTCTTGTAGTCATAGTATCAAACAAAGTGTTTTATGTAACTTTTAAAAAGAAAGAATGAAGTAAGATGATTTCCAAATGAATAACCCCTGCATTCTTGCTCTGTTTCCTTAAACTCTGCTTTGCTGGAATGAGTCAATTTGGAACAGAGTCTTTGTGGAAAACGATGGATAAAAGACTTTGAAAGTTTGAATGGACCAAGTCTTCATCTATTTGTCATTGCTCACTACTTTCCTCTTTCCCATGTAAACAAAACGTAAGTTGGACTTCGTCAACGTTTTTTTCCCTCGTATTACAACTTACACATAATAATAATTTTGGGACAGGAAGAGTGGAAATACATCTATTCATCTTATTTTGAATTCTGCGAAAATTATGCCATATGTGACGAATTATGCGTAACTGTTCTATCTATTCAAGAAGACAATAGTTTAGGCCTTATTTGGCCAACAACTTATTTTACATTTTGTCTCATTAACTCTTAAAACACATTTCAAACACAAAACCCAATACTATCCAAACAATTTTTTAATTTATTTTTTAAAATTTATTTCAAACATTATTTTTACACCACCACCAAACCACCTCCGCCGCCACCGGACCGCCCACCTCCGTCGCCGGACCGCCGTCGGTCGGTTTCCGGTGACTTGGCCGGACTCTGGCGGCGATGGTTGGCGATTCGGTAGCAGCGCCGGTAGTGGAGGTGGTCCGGTGGTGGTCTAAAAATATTATATTTTATTTAAAATATTACCCAAATAATTTTTAAAATTTTCTCTTAAACCATATTTTAAATCAAATCAAACCAAAATAAAAAAACTAAAACAAAATATTGGGCAAACAAGCCTTTAGTGTCTAGTGAAGATTCCATATTCTGTTCATGATCTGATGATGCTCTTGGTGACACTAAGACTACAAAACTTCTGCGAAGTCTACTTCTACAGTAAAAATTATTAAAGATAATTATCAATAATAGAGTTTGGATCTATTTAAGGGATATACTCCTTCCGGTCCTTAATATAAGGCATTTTGGTTTGTCCTAAGTTTAATCTAGCACATATTTTTAATTAGCAAAAAAACCTTAAAAATATTTCTTAACAATCAAGATAGTGAAGATTCCATATTCTGTTCGTGATTTGATGATGGTCTTGGTGACACTTCACCAAAGAGACTACAAAACTTCTGTGAAGTCCACTTCTACAGTAAAAACTGTTAAAGATAATTATCAATAGTAGAGTTTGGATCCATTTAAGTGATATACTCCCTCCGGTCCTTAATATAAGGCATTTTGATTTGTCATAAGTTTAATATAGTACATATTTTTAATTGACGAAAAAACCTTGAAAATATTTCTTAACAATTAAGAGAATACAACGGATGTGAAAATATATTTTTAAGGTTTTTTTAATCAATAAAAAATACATACTTGGTGAAATTTAGGACAAAATTAAAATGTCTTCGATTAAGGACAGGAGTGAGTAGATCAATTTTAGTGATAATTTATAGTAAAATTGATAGACCTAATTTATTAATTTATCAAGAGTAGTTTTTATCATTAAAGTTGTTTTTATCCAATAGTATAGGTATGGCAATAAATATGACATCTATTTTTATTTTGTATTCTAAGCCAGTCACAATATAGTATTCAGATATATTTCAGTTCAGTTTATTTAGTTCTTTTATTTTCTTCAATTTCTCATTTTCCACTTGGTGTCAGAGCATGTTCTTTCATGCTTCTGTTTTTATTTTCTTTAAAAAAATAAATCATGATTTCATGCTTCCGCTTATCATTTTTTTGTTGTTGTTTTGTCATCTTCAAAAAAAATTATATATCATGTTCATTCATGGATATTAACATATGTGTATGTTTAAATTTCAAATTCATCCCAAATCACTATCTTGCCTTCCTTCTCTACTATTAGTCCAATACTTTCTCCCAAGATATTCATAGTCTTCAATCGGTCGCATATCAATCCCATTAAACTCACAATTTTTATCTCCATTAACCACAATTTTCATCTTTTTTTTTCACAAATTAACTTCAGTTGATCCACAAATTTTAGTTTCTGACAAAGAGAAAAGACACCAATGTGTCAATCCATAAAAATTCCCATTATGACAAAAATCTCTTTCTCTCATAAGAAGCGTTTGACTTGTCACACAAAAATCTAACAATCTACAAAAATCCTCATTATGATAAAAGTCTAATCTTCTCCCAAAAGAAGGATTTTGATTTGTCATACCACAATCAAATAACGCAACAAAAATTTCGAGCAAATCGTCAAAAACATGGCCAGAATCACTCAAGGCTGAGAATCGATAGTGATCTACATGTTTTTCACTGCTGCAGTTCTTAATGATGGGAAAGTCGTCAACACAATCAAAGCAAACTGAGTCTCCAGCATCGAATCAGTATGAGAGAGGATGTTAAAGATAATTATCAATAGTAGAGTTTGGATCTATTTAAGTGATAGAGATCAATTTTAGTGATAATTTCTAGTGAAAATGATAGACTTAATTTATTAATTATCAAGAGTAATTTTTATCATTGAAGTTGTTTTTATCCAATATTATAAGCATGACTATAAATATGATATTTATTTTTATTTTGTATTTTAAACCAATCACAATATAGTTTTCAGATATTATTTCAGTTCAGTTTCTTTAGTTCTTTTATTTTCTTCAATTTCTCATTTTCTGCTAGAACAAACTAAAATATACTTCGAAAGTTAATGCATACAGAAAGAGAAAGAAAAAAAAAAAAAAACTCAAGAATGTAAATGTTAATCCAATGCAGTTCGGTTGGTGAAAGCAAGTCAAACTCTCATTAATAATTATTTCAAGGGTTTAAACTTGAATCATGAAGGATATTTCAAATGAAGAATTAAAAAGTTGTCAAATTTCATGTTTGGGACGAAATGAAACAGAAATGTGTGGTTTTCAAATGTACAGAACAAAAATGTGAAGTTTTGTCTTGGTTCCAATTCTTTTCCCGTTTTCCTTTGCGCTCTTGAATACACAAACAAAAAGTCTATATCACCTAATTATGGCTCCTCTTCCTTCTTTTTAGCCCAAAAAATTAACAAAAAAAAAATATTAAAAAAATTAAAAATAATTCTGACCGGAGGAAGCCGACGGTCAACCCGCTTCCCCCCCTTGCCGAGCGCCGGTCAAATGCGTTGGGCCCTATGAAGGAGCTGCTAGGGAACCGGTTCCTTCTTGAAGAGAAGCGCGGGCTGGTGCGCTTTCATTGAAACAACAACACTTGGTTCAATGATCTGACGGCCAAAAACATTCGTTTCCATTTGGACAAACAAATTTAACGGCCAATTTAAGTGGTACAACGATTTAATGGCTAAAAATATTCGTTTTAATAGATCCGACAAAATTAAATAATAGACTTTGAGATAAAACTAGTGCTAGCATCCATCGCGCCTCGCGCGATGTAGTCTAAAAAAATCTTTCGTGTTGATTTTGATTTTTGGAGAAGGTTAGTAATGTTAAATTTGATGATTTGCAATGTGGTGTCAATCGGCAAATAATGAAAAACATTAAAATAACTGTGAAACTAATTTTATATTATTACTGTTATTAATGCTAGCAGTTTTTTTTTTAGTGAAAACTGTGAATTATATAAAACTCAAAAGGTTATAAGCGTTGGTTTACAAGTTTCCTACCAAAATTGGAGCTATTTACATCAATATTTACATCAAAGCTTAACAAACTGAGGCAAAGAATTGTCTAAATAGCTCTTCCTCCTTAACCTTCATTTTCTTCTACTTACAGAATTCCACCCTTATCTTCATCGTTCTTTGTATTTCCTAAAAAACAGCTTCCACTGGTTTCTTTTGGTTCCTGAAAGTTCGACTGTGTCTCTCTTCCCATATCCCATATATGCATCCCATAATGGTAGCGTACAACACTTGTTTTTTAAACTTTGTAGTCCTCCATAATCTGAGTAAGTCTTTCTTCCACTGGTTCTGCTGCACATTAAACCTTGTAATCCCTAACCAAGTCTTAACTTTCTCAATCAAGTCCTGGGAGTATTGACAGCTAAAGAATAAGTGGTTGATTGATTCATCATGTATCTCACATAGACAGTATTGAGTATCCTGGACTGAGATATTGAATTGAACTAATCTATCCTTAGTCCAAACTCTTCCCATCCAAATCAGCTAGGCAATAAAAGAGTGTTTCCGTACATTAAATCTAGACCATATCAATGAGGCTTCTGGCTTTTTCACAGCTCCACCCTGCAACCATCTGTACCTTGAGCTTACAGAATATATATACCATTTTTTTATCCCAGCCATTTTCCTTCCTTGAATCCTTCCTTTGTTCTATCTCTAAGTTTTAGCAACTACTTCCAGTGCCAACTTTGATCCTGTTTACTTTGTACCCCCAGATATCTTCATGCCCTAAATAAATCTCATGGGTCCATTTTACCCAAAGATTATCCTTCTTAGTTTCCAACCACCACAAGTGTTTCAAAATAGCTGCCTCATTCCAAATTTTCGCATCACAAATACCTAAGCCACCCTCAGACTTCTTCCTGCATATGGTCTCCCATCCTACTAATGCTAAATATCTGCCAGATTCTTTCTTTCCCCATAGAAATTCCCTACACTTCCTATTAATTACAGCAGTAACACTATGTGGTAAAATGAATGTAGATGCCCAATAAACATGCAAATGCATTAAAGAGTTTACTAATTGTAGTCTCCCTGCGTACGATAAGTGCCGAGTACTCCAACATTTCAGTCTCTTAAAGACCTTCTCCACTAACATTTGACATTCCAGTTGATTCCATTTCCTCAGGGATACTGGAATCCCTAGGTACCTCATGGGGAAACATCCCTCTTTAAAGCCAGTAACTTTACATATTTCCTATTTTAACTCCACATCCCCACCTCCCACACATACTT